TTTCTCAGGCCACGAACTCTGAGCCAAAGCAAATTCGTTTAAATGCCTTTCCAGCGCCCTGAAAGGGGCTTTAGGGCTTGGGGGGAGCTTTGTCCGACAACCTTTGACGGTCCCATCAGCCTTGTGCACTTGTGCTTCGATGCCAGGCTGCCATCCCAACATCGATTTCAGTACGCACTCCCTCGTGAGATGGGCAGGGACAGCAAGCGCAACGACATGGATCGCGATTATGGAAGTTCCCACGCTAATATGACGGTTGAGGCGTTTCTACCTGGAGCCGCTCTGAACGACGACTTTCTCCTCTGATAAAATCATGGCAGGCACGCATTTGCGGACCGCATCGAATCATTTGCTTCGGCTGTCAGGAAGCCAGGCCAGGAAGTGGCGGATGTTTCACTAATGCTTGCATTCGCTGCGCATTCAGCTGGATTCAAGCATGGACGTTCAGAAATGCGTCATGCTGCTTCTTAGACAGGGGCACGAGATCGTTTATGGATGCCGAACACCGCCTGTTCATGTGCAACAAACTTTGGTCAAGAGTTCAACAGAATACCTCCCCAATCCGAGTTCGAATACACTCTTCGAATACACTCCGACAAAAACCTGCAAGGCCTGATATGCATACTCGCAACAAGACAAATGGGAGTATCAGCAGCATGATCGCCATAATTCGTCTCATAGTCATAGCAAGACAGGTTTGCAGCCGAGGCCTTCTCATGATATGCCACGGATCCTTCCTCTACGCGCGGGCACCACTGACCCGAATCACTGAGATGTGGACCTAGACTACAGGGTTCTCCTTGTTGGTTGACTCCTGCTGGCATCCTGGGCCTCTAGAACATGGCTGCGGCCGTCGCCAGAGGGTTCTACGACGGGTAAGCTGCCTGCTGACTAGCAGCTGTTTCAGCTGTCTGTTGTCACATACAGCGGCTCTTGCGATGGCCAGGATTCAAAGATCTTCATCATCAAACCGGTGGAATCCACGAGCTGGGGTCTCAGACACAACACATCAAGGACTGAGGCTTCACTTCACTTCGTCGAGGTCGCTTACCATCGCGGAGGACAGCACTGTTATGGTAGGGGTAAACCCGGCTTTGTAGATACAGGCACACCTCAGACACGCAGAACATTTATGTGACATTTCGGCCGGGCACACTATGCAAACACATGTGTGCCCTTCCTGAAATTCTTTCTGAAAGGCATGCATCACACGTAGTTCACCAAAGAGTGCAGGCTCATTGTGTGTGCCTACATACATTCATACATACATACAGGCATACATACATACACATACATACATACATACATACATACATAAATGCTTGCACGTACGTACATACCTACATACATACCCAGGGTCGTTCTTACATGCATACATACATACAATCATAGATACATATAGATGCATACATTGGATGTGAGCAGCATCGTGTACCTTGCGCTCCCCTGTTGGCATACGCAGGGCCATGATAATGTGCAGGTGCGTGCTGACATTATTGTATTCAGACGCAATCATGCAAGGAAAGGTATAGAAGCCCGGGGCCCTAGGCAGGGGTAGGCCTAGGGTCACTGCCTAGCGTAGCATAGGCGTAGCAGGTAGGCCTAGGGTTAGCCTGGGGAACCCCCTAGCAATAGGCTAGGGGTAGGCCTAGGGCTAGGTTTGGGGTAGGCCTAGGGGTAGGCATAGGGCTAGGCTCGGCAAGGAAACCAATCATCATCATCGTCGACACTGCCGACCGTCATCGTCATCACCCCTGTCACCGTCTCCACAGCCAGGATGAACATCATCGCCATAGCCCACAGCCATGACCATCATGAGTACTTCGACCCGGATCAATGTCAAAATCTCTACATTTCTTTATGCCAACCCTGCAGGAGCAGGTGCAGCAGCATGAGCATCATCCGCACAGCAGCAACACCAGAGGCAGAAACACCGCCTCCGCAACAAGCAGCATTACTAGCATACAGGGTATTTCAGCAGTACTACGAGCACGTTCGTCTCCAAAATGTCATCTTTGGGTGGGCTGTCGACTAAGGTGAAAGGTCGCAAACCCTGCAGCAAAGTGGATCTCCGAAAGAGAGCTAGGCAGAGCTCTGCACCTTTGGTGGCAAGAGCTTGTGATCTGCATGGAATCTCCGAAGGACTGTAACCTGCACCTCGGCATTTCACCAGCTATTCTTAGCATGGGAGTGGCTTGCTGGCCATTTCAATGCAGCTGCAGCTACCGGAGCTCCATGGTAAAGACTTCCCGGTCGAAAGCGGTGGGGCAAAGGCACCGCTGGAAAAAGAGAAGCCCACGGAAATCACCTCATTCCAGAGGCGGTGCCAACAAAAAACAGAAGACGTATTTCAGAAATGAACGTGCCGTCTTTCCAGTCTGATCGTTGGACCCACCCTGCAGGTACGGTAGCAGCCCTGAAGCTTAGTGCGCTTTAGTGCAGGGTGCCGACTCACCGGCCCCAGTGCGGGACATCCAAGTCCCTGCAGACGTTGGAAGCTCAATGCCTCGTGAGTACACGACCTGCGCAGTCAGACGGAATCAAAGTTGTCTTGTCGGGACGGCCGAGCTCGTGGGAGGCCGTCCATCTCCCGCCTGCGAAGCGCTCGAGACTTCGAAACCAAGCGACATCCAAAGACTTCCGACACGCACCCAAGGACTCCTCAAGTGCCTGCAGGTGCCGAAACGAAGCCTTTCAACTCATCGGGTCAGGATTTCACTGTGGCAGGGAGCCAGACAGTCGAGGGCTGACTTTTCTCCGGTCGTGGACTATTGCGGGGTCTGCACACCGCAGGTGCCGTGCGTGGGAGCATGTGTGACTGAGCTACGAGCAATCGCCCTCTACCCGAGACCTTCCTGCAAGGCTGCGAGTCGCCCCAAGGCAGAAGCTCTTCCGGGCACGAAACGACTCTAGCTCTGGGGGACGGCCCCGCTGAACTGCACGGATGTAATCCGAGGACTGGCTTTCTGTAGCTGGACAACCAGGGGGGATTATGGTGAAGGGGCCGCCCGGACGACTGTAAACAAGGAGCAGCCGAGTCGTCAACACTCACATCAAGAGGTCGGCTGGATCGACAGCTTCTTGAGGACTACCTGAGCTGCTTTGTGACGAATTACTGACTACCTTTGCGGTGAACCGGCACACTCGGACCGTATTATGTCGCAGGAAAGAATCTGTACTGCGAATCCACTTCTTTGAACTATACTATGATATACTATGTAGCTGCTACCAGTACAGTAGCTGCATGCACAGCAAAACTGAACTCCTCACAACACATTCAGCACATTGATTCAACAGATTGCGGAGAAGCTCGAGAGCAAGTGTGAACATGCAGACGCCACAGCGATAAACCCTGTTGACCACCGAGTAGCTACCCGGTCTGGCATCTTCCCTTGGAGCAATTGCTGCGACCTGCCAACACATGCCGGAATTTAGAAGGTTCAGGTCCGAAAGTGCAATCAACAAAAGACAAAGGTCACCAGTCGACAAACGTGGATTTGGCACCGGTCATGGCTTCCGCTCCAATCAAGCTTCTTTTGCGCTTCCCGGCCTTTCCGTTCAATCCTTCCGCAGTCAATGTCAATCCGTCTCCAGTGCAACAGACGCTTCACCAAAGCCATCATCTTGCCTTCGTACCGTCAACCCCCCCCTCACCAAACTTCTGCAGTGACAGCCACTGATCTTTTCAGCTCAATGAATGACTGAGCTTCCATATCTCTGAGACTGTCTGTACGACTTACCGATACACGTCTTGACTTGACCTGAAACACGGTCCGTACTGACAGCCAAGGCAACCCTCTCGAGCCTTTAGGCCTTCAAACATTTTGAGACTGGAAGTTGCGACGCTATTTCCTTCAACATCTCTGGCGCACCGGACTGCTGCTTAGCTAGTTTGGTGTTGCCTCAGTTGGCTCCTATCTGTCATCCGTACAACAGTATTTGGAAGGACATGCAGGCTTAACAAAAATTGGTCCTGAAATGTGCCGGGAGATAAGAAATGGAGTTTTGTTTCTGGGCCTTGTTTTGAAATTGTCGGAGCCATTCGGACTGCTGCTGCTGCTGCTGTCGTATGACGTATGACAAAGAAAATCGAAAGTTGACGAGCTGCTGTTGAACTCATTCGCAACTACCCTTTGATTCTGCAGACCGTAAAACAGAGATCTAGTCCTGTCACTGAAGATGCTTCAATCCAAGTATGCACGCGCAGGAGGGTGCATGTGCGTGGATGTGGGCGCATGTGCATGTGAGCGAGCCAGCGCGCGTGAGCGCAAGGCAAGCGATCGTATAGGTGCACAGAAACACATATATTTTCTGTATACGTATGTGTGTATATATATATATACATATACATATATATATATATTTGTTATATATATTTATTTTTGTTTATTTATTTATGTGTGTGTGTTTGAATATATTATCTATGTATACAACTTGTTTTCTCTCTCTCTCTCTGCCTCATACTGTATGTATGTATAGATGTGTATATGTTTATCTATGTATGTACTTATCTGCTTATTTGTATATATGTGCTCTCTCTCTCTCTCCCACAGAGTCAATCAGTATATATATATGTATATACATATACATATACATATATGCATATATACATATATACATATATACATATATACAACTATATATATATATATACATCTGTATGCATATATATATATGTGTGTGTGTATTGATTTACAGATGTGTACTTATCCTTTTATTCCATTTTTTCTCTATTCAGGTGTTTGTTTATACATACATATATATGCAAAACTACATACGCACATGCAGATATTTGCACGTGTGGGTAGACGAGCGCTTTATATTATAGGGGCTATGAACTGCAAAGTCCTTTCTACCTTGCTAATGATGCTAATGGCACAGGCGAGTTTTCACTGCACATACCGAGCATGAGCCCTGACAGCCTTCAGCTGCCGCACGACTCGAGCGACCTCCACAGAAAACACTGCCGTGCAGGCTCAGAACTCTGTACAAAAACTTCTTTACCACTGCTGCAAAGAAAACCACTTTTGTCCTATGCCAAACACGTCTTTGATGGGTACAGTCAACTTCAGGCAGGCGCATGGAATGGATGGGATGTCATGCAATACCCCCACCTCGACCTGCAGAAACGTAAAAATCTGATCTTTCCTTAGCTTCTGAGAAGTTGGTCTATGCAGTCACGATCTCCGCACACACCGCAGTGGCAACAAGGCGCGATGTGCTAGAGTCTGCGAGAGTATGTGATGCCAGTCAGTTACCCCCCCCCCCCTCCCCCCCACAAGCCATCACGGCGACTAAGCTGCAAAAGCGTAAATGCCAATAGCGTGCATCAATCTTCTCCCGGTTTCCACAGCTCCAGCGATGACTACAAACCGGATGAGATTCACAGGCATCAAACTAATAGCATGGCAATACTTGCACCAGTTGCTCGTTGTTGCAGCAGGCTGCAGCGTGTGCCAAGGGTCTGCAGCCCCGCGAGCGCTTCAGCATCGTGATTCTTCAGCGCTTCGACAAGGTCGCAGCCAACCTTCAGTCGGTGCTGCGAGCAAAATTGAGCAGTTTAGCAAATGGTAAGGCACTCATGGCAGAAGCTCCGCCCACGCATTCCTTCAGCAATATGCTGTCCAACCACATCACCAGGTCATAAAGTAGCCGGGTGCGACGCGAGTCCCCTCATTCAAGGCATTAATTGGACACACTGCTGGATCTTGCTCGACCCTACAGGCCCTACGTAGATTGCTGAACCTGAATCTCGAACTCTATGAACACCTCAAATAAACGCCGGAGTGGCCTGGCATTCCCGTGAGGTGAACCAGCCTCAGTGAGCATCATGCTGAAAGCAGATTAACCTGATCCTTAGGAGAATCATCTCTTGTCAAGAGCTCACACAGCAGGATTCTATTGCAATGTGGGACCCTCTGCGAGGTGCTTTCTTCCAGGGCTCCTCCAGGATTTGACACTTTTGGGCGGTCGTCGGACGGATTGTTTCTGAGGAGTTTAATAGGCCCAGGGCCTAAGGCCCAAGGCTTGGATTTGGAGGGATTTGCAGCCTGTTCATTTAAAGGCCTGAGGCTTTGGTTTTGAGCTTGCGCTTGTATCGTCAGCCCACTTAAAGTCCAAAAAATCTGGCCTGTCCAATCCCCAAACCTCCTGCAAACTTCCCCCCCCCCCCGGCTAAACACAATGCCACAGTGAGATAAACTCGAAATCTCCCTATCTAATCTGGCAGATTCGGACCATGTCTCAGCTGTGCATCATTGTGTCGAGAAGTAGTGCTGACCCCGATGCTCTCTCCTAATTAAGGGGTGCCTGCAGCGCTAGAACCCTTACGCAATGTCAATTCCTACGCGTTCTGTTGAAAATCAGAACGACCGGGCTGAGCCGGCTGGGCTGTGTGGACGGCATCGACAGTACAGTTATTTGGGCAGCAAACTAAAAGCTACAAAAAAAAAGCAGATAGTTGAGCCTCAAAAGGACAACCTGGAAAGAAACCCAATGACCGACCAGAGACGCTGACAAGTGCAGGCTCTTTTCGCGTTGGGGCACTTGACATCCTCTACGTCGCATGTATAAACTCGGAGCTCCAAGCCCTCAGGATGTCTTCCGCCTTGGACAGTAAACCAATTCCACTGCCACGCTGGAGGCCGTGCCCAGAAGTTGCCGCCAGCTCTGGTACAACCAACCGAACCCCGCTATGGCGACCAGGACTCCATGAATGGACCAGTGATCTTCATGTAAGAGAATGCGCCCAGCTGTCGATGTGAGCGTCGTAAACTGCTTAAGCCTCAAGGCACAAGCTCTGGGCATGAACTTGGGCACGTAAGTTATGGTGGCCTCAATCACCAGTTTCTCGCCCAGCAGACCGATTCCATCCACATGGAAATCAATCTCCCGAAAGAGCATTCGAAGAGACCGAAACTGGGCCTTCACGTGGGACGTGCCCGAAACCAACACCAAAGGATCGCTGAACTTGCAAGAAGACGCATACATGGAGTCCACCACGGCATCTGAGTCCACCTGCAGGTGCTTCCTACTTACGGCCCGCTCTTCTTCAAGCCCCACGTGAGGTCCATCCTTAAACTCGAAAAATCTCAAAACCCGAACAGTTTAACGTTCGCCTGGAGGTCATACAAAGAACAGGCTGCCTTTGCTAACCGCTGGTGCTCGTCGCCGAGCGTCGCCATGGCTTTTTGCTCAGCCATCGTGTCAGGGAGTTAAGAGACAGGGAATCGTGCCTGCTGTGTTTAGACATGCGTATGCACACCTTTAGCATGCTTATACACACGAGTGCGCGCATTGCAGAATCTAGTGTAGAGCACCTGTAGGAAGGCACTGGGTACCTGTGCCTTTGGATGCAACACAAAGGTACGGTTCTTATGTCCCAGCTCGTGGTAAGAAGTATTGGTTTAAGGCTGCTCAACAACATTGTCTTTAAAGTCAGACAGGGCCTCGAAGAACCTTGGCCCCAAGCTGCAGGCATGTGTACTTGCGCATGTATGTTGGCATGATCTCGTCCGTGATTCGCTCAATGCCCACACCGATGCAAATGCCAAGCAAGCTAAACAAATTACGGAAAACACTCCTGCATTCACATGCAAAGCTAGTACAACACCCAGCTTGTGAGTGCAAAATCAATGCTGAGCCCATGGCCGTCCACTTGAGTCGCATTCAGGATTTCTTCTGCTCTCACAGTGTCCTTAGCAGTGATACGCACACACGTGACACGTGTGTGCTTGCACGTTTGGCTGCACTTGTACGCACACACCAATACGCATGTAAACCTACCGATATCTATACGTATATATGTACGTATGTCTGTCTATCTATACATTTACTTACATACTATACACATGTGTATGTACTCATACATGTTTATACACCTATCTGTTCATGCGCATGTCTCTCTCTCTCTCTCTGTATATGAATGTGAACATGCACGTACACTGTTCATAAAATGCAGTAGAAATACGGGAAGGTCACATAAGTGCGGACCTGTCTGGATATAGGTAGATAGGTCGACAAGTAGCTAGGTATCTAGATAGCTGACGAAATCGATAGATCGATAAGTAGACAAGTAGATAGATAGACAGACACTAGATGGACAGATAGATACACAGACAGACAGCTACGTATGTGGTCTATGCATGTACGTACATATGTACATAATATGTACGTATGAACGCATGTCATTACAATGAAAAATTTGTGTATGTGTGTTTGTTTGTTTGTTTGTTTGTAACTGTGTTCTGTATAGTAGCTGTGTGTAATTAATATGTGACTGCGTGTACGAGTATGCATGCATGTATGTATACGTGTGTACGTATGTATGTATGTATACATGCATGCATGCGTGGAAGGACGTATGTATGTATCTATGAATGAATATATGTATTTATGTATGTATGTCTGTATGTATGTATGTATGTATGTACGTATTTATGTATGTATGTGCGTCTTTACTCATGACATGTGGGTGTGTGTGTGTATATATATATATGTGTGTATGTGTGCATGCATGCATGTATGAATGCATGCATGGACGCATTTGCACATGTAACTGCAGGTATTATACACTGGTGTGGATGTAAGAGGCTCGTCCCGATCTCTTTAAAACGAAGGCCTCCAGCTGCCCCAATAAGACGATCTTCGACAACAGCTCCTGAAATGCACTAGAAACGGCAAGGGCAGATCTTGGCAAAATTCGTCTGAAAGCCACGAGGCAGGATGCAAAGACTCAACGACTGCAGCAATTTCGTGCCTTGTGCGCAAAAGGGAGGCTCTTCTGTCTGCTGAGTACCTGTCAAAGAGCCAGCACAGAGCATGGAACGATGTTGCCAAATGTGCGCTCGGCAACCAAGGTGCAAGAGGGTCATCATGCGTCAAGCGACGGTATGTGATGGAAGTTGGGAGGCAAAGCCCGCGAAACTCCTTGAATACGTGCCGGTGAGCTGTAAAAGCGACAGAAGATCTTGGCTTCAGGAAACATGAATAAACAGCTGCAGGTCCCAGGTCCAGCCCGCGACATTTCTGATAGAGTTCGTGCCAACGTAACAGGTTGACAGAAGGGACATTTGCGGCGTGCAGGACGTGAAGGCGAGCCGGGACTCCGTCAAATCTCAACGGTACGCTTGTGCCGACACTCCAGACACAAGGGGCACCCCAATGTGGCCATCCATGGCCACCAGGGCATCCTGACGACAAGACGTGGAGCAGTGAGGCGCTGACACTTGCGCGAAAACGTGCGCGGGTCGAGGGGTCCACTCAATAGGCCATCCATTCCTCAACGGCGAAGTATCGGCGCTTCAAAGGAACACCGAGCCGCGAGCCTCGAGTGCACCGGAGCGAATAAGGAAGCCGATGTACCTCCGAAGCTTCGGGGGGAAAGCTCCCTGGTGCATAAGACACGACCTCACGGCAACTCGTGGCTCTTGCAGACCCCGGGCCCCGGGCGTCTTGTACACATCTCCCAGCTCGTAGTCCTGCACGCGACTGGCGCAGCAGGTATCCCAGTTGAAACCTTAAGCCCCAAAGATGGGAAGAAAAGAAGCAAGCAGATTGAGATGCAAGCACTGGCAGAAGCAGTCGGTGCACAGTCGCAGTGCTGAGAAGCCTTCTCCTCGTCCTCGTACAAGCCGAGGGCATCCTATCGGAGCCATGCTGCCAAACACTCCCTCAACGCACTCATCTCTAAATCCTTATCCCGATAATGCCTAAGAAATACAAGACCGTGATGACACAGGACTCCCGTGGGCTGGACGCGCCATAGGCTCTACGAGAATGCTAGCATCAAGCGGCCCGGACGTGGAGGGCTGATGTGGCAGAGCTGTCCATCCACGTCCAACAACTCCGAGTTCATCTTGACGGCTTGAACAACTTGGAAACTCGGGGCTCCAAAGCCTCGTCCCTACGAGGGCTCTCCAAAGCGGCGGGAGCCTGGAAGGCGCTCTTCGCAGATTCGATGTCCCCTTGCCTGCCGCGACACGCCCGAAAGGAGAGCACGTGCTTGGGTCTTGCTTGAAGCGTTTTGTGTGGGCTCAGCAGCAGGAACAGGAGACGTGATTGTTACGATAACACTCAAAGGCTAGATGTTCTCTCTTCCTTTCAGGTCGAGTTGGCCAAAGCTCGCGCACTTGCGATGCATAAGCGAGTCCAGAGATCACGAGTCGAGAGCCGCCAACGAATCACTGGGGCCCGAAAAACCGAAAACTCTTTCACGTAGTAGTAGCCAGCATGCTCGAGCTATGGGACTGTGCTACTCCGGAAGAGTCCAATGTGACAACATAAGGTAGAAGGTCTGGAGATGCACCACGATGTGCCTGATACTTGGACTGAGGGCAGGGCTTCTCCTTGATCCCGGCCATTTTGAGCAGCAGCTGGGCGAGATATGGACCAATTGCACATCCGATCATGCTGTCTGCAAAGTGCTACATGCAAGCGAGTTACTGTCCAGCTTCATGCAGCACAATCCAGAAAAATGTTACAGGGGTATAAATGTTTCCGAACTCTCACTGACATACAGCAACTCCAATTAGTCGTGAATGTCTAGCCTTTGCAGCCACATCCGCTTTGCCCGCGATTCGGAAGCATTGCACGGCCTGTTCACGGGATTTGGTCTGCTTTGCAGGCCCGTCACATGAGTGTCTGAACTACTGTGCACGAGACAGTAGTAGCATGGACGACTTAGCCAGCCCGGTCGCCCGGACGTCGCCCCAGCCTTCTGCCAGTGCCTCATGGCCGCTGCTGCCCCATCGGGCCCACTTCCATCACAAATGCCACCGGCACTTTCGTACCTCTCAGGACTGAAAAGGGCCTTCAGCATCTTCAGCCGATGCAAACTCTTGAGACCCTGTCGGCGCACGCTCTGCCGGCGCCGAAAAGATCATGCAGCTGCTCCTGTTGGGAGTTTCACGAACCTCAAATCCTGCTCAATGCGTGCCCTTACCCGCCTTGCCCTTGCACCCTCCCATACCCTCCCACTCCTTCATCTCACCTGACTTGGCCCAGGCATCGGCCTTGAAGGCGACTTCAGAGTGGGGGAGACTCGAAGGAGATAGCCGATGTCTATGGATAGCCAACTAAAAATGATATCGATCCGATTGGTTCTTCAGTCTGGGCTCCTCGCAGATTCTTGCAGCATGTTGGCCGCCCTAAACTGGGTGGCCGCCTGCGCCGATTCGTGTAGTCTCAGGGAAAGTTCCTGCAGACAGCCTGGCTACAGATCGTCAGGCCTGCGAGAACTCCATAGATGCCGAGAGATGGTCCGGACCTTACTGGCATGACTTATCTAAAACCACGAAATGCCGACCTGACAGTAAGCTGGACGAGGTTGAGGGCTTCCGAGAAGCAGAGTCTCTCCCGGCCTTTGCACTTTGCACTCAACCTGAAAGCCGAACCTACCCATTTCCCAGAATCAGGACACACGCCCCCAATCGGGGGAGCGCGGCTCATCGCCCCGAACTTGGTTGTCAAGCTCCCGGCTGAACTTCAAAGACATCCATGACGGCTTCAGCGCCTTCACATAGAGGTCAGCTACATCCAAGCTCCGCTGAAAGGTCATGGACTGCGTATCACAGCAATTGTCGAACACTTGCGCCGCAGGTGTGTGTGTGTGTGTGGGGAGACATACACATATCCCACAAACCTGTAAACACACTAGATGTATGTATGTGTGAATATGTGTATATCTCTAGTAAATGTATTAATCTACCTACGTAATTGATTGACGCGGATGCCGGGCCCGCCCCCCCACTCTCCAACCCGCCCACGCCAAGGTCAAGGGCTTGAATTTGCTTTATCTCTGTGGGTGTAATCCCCCGCCCCCCCACCCCCCCCCCCACC